TGCCTGCTGAACTCTTTTAGTTCCAAGCAGAGAGTAGGGTGTCACATTCACCTTTGCATACAAATTACATTACGTGAGTGAGAACATCCAAAAGTTTGCTTTGGATTTATCCTCAACTTCATGTGTTGGCAATGCTGTGCTCCTATAGCAGTGCAGCGTAGTGCTTGTTTTCTCTCAGGTCTGTCAGCCCAGAGCCCAGACTCCCCTTCATCAGTATGCTGTGGGCCTTTCTGTGTTACATAAGGCAGGGAGGCACTTGAGGACACACTCACACTGAGAGGGAGAAAAGGAAGGAGGAAGTAAACGAAGGAGGAGGTGGTGGTGGGGGCACGCGCTGAACAAACAAATCAATACTGCAGCGAGTTGGGGGTACAGGAGCCCCTGTCCTGCTGCACCTCCCTCTCAGCCAGAGGCCCGGGAAGTGAATGACTAGAGTTGGTAGGATGACACGCAAATTTATGTAGAGGAGACTCGAAGAGGTGGCTACGTGTGCGAGAGCGCGCATGTTTGTTCACACTGACAGGGGTGGTCACTGCTATGTGGACACAGAGGTCGAAATGAAGGAGATCTACACCTCCTCCCATATCTGGAAGCTCTTTGATAACTTCCTGGTGGACATGGCCAGTGTAAGTCAGGTTCATTCACCTCTTTTTCTTTCCTTATGAACCAATGGAAAGTGTTATGTGTCAAGACTATTGCATAGGAAATGATAATAGACATATTCCTCTACATGATTTTTGTAATTTAGGTGTGCAACACTACAACGGAGCGTAGCCATGCAGATCTAGCCCTGGAGAAGTATGTGACGGAGACGGTGATGGCCATTGTCAAGGGTTTCTTCAGCTCTCAGTTCTCTGTTAATCACTCTAACCTACAGGTATCTCTTCACCCCTGACAAGCATGCAAATGTCATGGATTTGGATAACTTTATGGTGAACATATTTAATAAAGATTGAGTTATTTTTTAGCAGTAATGCAGTAATGACCTCAGAGACATTCAATTTTCAAGTCATGCCATCTGATTCTTCCTCTGTATTTCTCTGTGGTTATGCCTTTTTAAGTTAAAGCATCCTGCTATTTCTTTTTCTTCTTCTTCTTCTTCTTCTTTTATTTAATATATAGACAAACCAGTCTATCTTCATCAAGCTCCTCCAGTCAGCCTTCCGGATTTACAACTGCACATGGCTCAGCTCAGCTCAGAAGGCTAAT